GGTGAAGGAACATTAGTTACTGTGGTGCCTTCTAATTTCAAAACTGGAATACTGTAGTTTTCTCCTTAATGGACTTCTAGACTCTACTTTGTGGAGATTAAAGTGAATTAAAAAAGCTCTGCAAGAAATCTTTTATGGACACCAAATTTTGCACTCGCATTAAACCTGTTCTCAAATCACTCCCCTGACTCCCTCCTGATATTTTTTTCAGAACGATTGATCTTATTAAAAGGCATTAACACTTTTTTAATCCTATCGTCAAATTAATCCTGTTGATATCAGTATCTTTGTAATGAAATACTGAAAAAAATAAAACCGTAATTTGGCCTTTTCAGGTTTTCAGTGCAGCTAAACTGACATGCTGAATTGTGCCAGCCCTCATGCTGTCAAGAGATGCCCTGAAAAAGCTCTTAGCCCTGATTATCCATTGGAACAATGGCTGTGCCTCTAATTTTAGACAGCTGCAAGCAGGGTGACTCTCTGTGAAGAAGCAGGACATTTTGTGCTGCATTCCCTTCTCAGGAACATGAACTCTTCTCCGCCTGCTTAAAGCCCTGCTGTTTACAAGCCTGAGATCTTCCTGTAAACATGTGCTTCTGCATCGTGAATGGCTTCAGCCTGTAGCACTGTCCTATTCACAAACACCAGTACTGTATCACCTCTCTCAGCACTCAGTGCCCTGCTGTTCGCAGCTCTTAAATTCTTTTATGTAAAAGCTGTGGTGTCTGACTGTAAGTCCTGTACTGCTGCCCTCTCCCAGAGAATGCTTCATGCTAGCATATACATTTTTTCTGGATAACATTTTTTTTTCTCAGAAATTTAGAATATAAATGTTCACTGAGAGCACAACTCCTAAATCAATGGTGTATTATCGATGGGAGTTAAGTATTCATAAAAATACTGTTGTCAGACAAGATTTTGTACAGCAGCTACTAACTAGATGGGAAAAAATTGAAACTGTGAATAATTTGTTATCTACATATCCCTTATGACTGAACTGCACACCTGTAACTGAGGACACTTCTTGTAATACTGCTTTTAAGTGGAAAAGTTACTGAATATAGGAAAAAAAATCCTGAAGTACCTTAATCATAAAAGAAGCTGAGTATAGATTTCGAAGAGGGGATATGTAAAATACTTATTTAAAAAAAAAAAAGAAAACTCCTGTGCTGAAGTTTCAAAACCCAAATGAGCATTGTGTGTGGAGATAAAGCATTCCCAGAGGCAAATGCTGCAAGAATATTATTCTTGTCATTTTCTATTCATTTCCATTACCTTGATTTTAAAATTGGCTCTTGTAAAATCTATACCTTTCAAGCTGTATCTGCAGTGTGCTGCTATGTGTAGTGTTGCATCATACCAGGGCAGGCTGTGCTTTGCTCTCTTCCAGGTGGAAGATGGGCCATTCCTGGCACTGTTTTAAATTGCTCTGTCCACCTAATGGAAGTAGATGTTCATGTCTCTTAGCGACCCACTCATTGTCTTCTGTTGTGATTCTTCAATTTCTAGAGCATATTTTGGGCATTGCTGTTACGCAACCATCTGGTAGCTCTTGAATTTATGGAATCTGCCAGGGGGACATGTGCTGACATTCAAAAAGAGAGTAAAAGACTGTTAACCAAAATAGTATCCCTCTTGTTTAATAGTTAATAGCTGGCTTGTAGTTCTCGCATCAGGAAGTTCATTTTCAGAAGTAAAAACCAAACTCAAAAATGTCATAAAATCTTCTGTACTTCATCAAGCTTTGCTCCATCTGCTGGTTGACCTGCTTTCCTATGGATATTCCTACCACCAAACAGACACACAGTAATCTTTTTATGCAGTAAAACCTCTCTTCTTCAAATTGGTGGTGCAAACCCTTGGACTGTGCATAAATGAAGCTACACATATTATCTATTTGCCTTTTGATACAAAGGTTTTAAACATATCCCATTAGGGTTTCCATCAGATGGAGTCCTGCAGCTGGTGCTTCCACCCCCTGTGCCAGATGCAGCATCTCCATCTCCCCACATGCCGGTGCTGTGGCAGATCTTTTCTCTTTCCTTGTTGACAGCAACCCCCAGTCACCACAAAATGCTCATCTACTCATCTCACTTATTTCCAGCCTTTGGAAGGAAGGTGAAAAGGAGGGAGAAGAAAGCGGCATTACAGAAAACAGCAGAAGAAATAACTTCATGAAAATGATACCAAGAGATCTATAAAACTGGAAAGACCTAAAGGTCCTGTTCCTAATCAATAACACCCTCAAGATAAATACAATGCAAAAGACAGGGGAATTATTCAGCATCTGAGATAGAGAGAAGAATGAGAGCCTGAGGCAAATGCAGAAAAAGTTTAGTATAAATATTAGGCCAAGTTCTCAATAGTATGGTTTGCTCATGAAATTGTGTCTGTGATGTGCAATGTTTTGGTAAAAACACAAAATTCACTCTTGAATGCATTTAGAAAAAGGATCATGTCACAGCAATACACTGGGGTTCTCCATCATCCTGTGCTCAAACTCATAGCCTTAATATGCAGGATAATGTTTCTCCTTACAGGGTATAGAGGAAAGCTGCTTTTTCCAGCAAAGAACAGGATAAGTTTTGGGAGATGCAGTTGAATATGGCATATTAAATACACAACTGAAGCTTGGAATAATGTGTTTTTTGATACAAAGTTTGGGAATGCTCCTGCTGCGGTGATGGGCTTTGTGAAGAGTGTGATGCACCTGGTGGAAGCTGCAGTTCTCCTACTGAAATACACTGGAAAGCCACAGTGTTGTGTTAGTCAAACAGGTTAAGTATAGCCTGGAATTTTCAGGCTTAAAAGATAGGCAAAATGAAAAAGAAAAATGTTAATTTCAGTGTTTTCAATGAAAACCTTTCCTGTTCTTAGGTCATTCAACCTGTTTCATCCATACAAAAATCACTGTGCATGGTATGCAGAATGGAAGACATATATAAGAATAAAAAAATAATTTTTTTGGCTAATATTAACAGATGTTAGTCCACATCATGTGACTTTCTGTAGCCTGATGTAATGCTCTGTGTTTAGGGTCAAGGAACAATGACCTGTCCTGGAGGAATTGCTCTTTTTTCCACAATGAACACAGTGAAGAAGCAGGGAAAATATGGGGGACTACTGGTAGGGTAATTTTCTGTTCCTCTCTTATATATTGTCCATTGAGGATGGAAATCCCCGTGCTGCATTTCTGTGGTGGTACGTGGGGGAGAGCAGGCAGGTGAGAGGGAGGCGTCGGCTGTGCAGAAGGCTTTCATCCCATAGAGTGTCAGCATCTGCAGTGGCTTTACCTGGGCTCTGCTTTCTGTTGCAGTCTAGGGAGTTGCCAGGAGAGGGGGGGAGAATGGGGAAAAACAAAGTTAGGTTTATAAAGCAGATTTGTCTCTTGAGTGAGGAGCAATGGTGATGTATCAGTGAAAGTACCAGGCCTTGGCTATAGGGCTGTACATCCTCAACTGCATGTTAAAGATTAAGGGAAGTCTCCAATAGCCCAAACTGCCAGTCTCCCTGCATGTATTTCTGTGAACACTGGCTTATGCCACAGGTTCGGGTGATGCTGTTTCTTGTTTACACAACCACTGGCTTCTTGGAGCATCTGCCTTTTACTCTCACCATGATTAAATTGTACAGGAAGAACATGTGTTTCTCAAATCTCCCTGCAGCCCTTTGGATATGACTGTTTTAAGTTTGACAAGGGGAGGCGAGGGTGCACATGAAAGTGTGCAGTTCTGAGTTTGTTCTTTTTGGTGCTTTCATATTGCAAAGATCAATAATTTACCTCCTGTCAGGTGAAACCAGGAGATTAGTTGCATTAATTTTTGAATGCTTTCATAGTGTGTGTAAATTGATCTTACCTTGCCGAAGTCATGTTTGCAGCCCTGCCATACTTTGGTGGCAGGGGAGCTGAGCTGTGCTGGCTAAATGTACGACTTAAAAAGCAGTATATGTGAATAAACATAGCTGTTATAACAGGAGGCAGGGAATCATCAACAAACTGGTGGTTTGATGGGGCTGGGCACTGTTTTAGTTTAGGTTGCTTATTGGATTTTTCACCCAAGGTAATGTTTCATAGTCATTTGTTGTTTTCTTCTCAAATATACCTTCTGCTCTTGGTTTTAGCTCATCATCTATACATACACCACAGAGCTTTAGGATTATTTCCAGTGCTCTCAAAATGGCCAGTCAGCCCTTACCCAGCTTTGTATGATTGCCAGTGCTTCTTGTATATGACAGGGGTGCAGAAATGCTGTGCTAATGTTTGGGGGAGTATGTTTTCAGCTGAACCCAGAGCAAGTGGTGCTGCTTGTCCTGGGCATCTTGGTGCAGTGGCGCTGTGGTGGCTGAGGTACTGTGTGTGTTTGACCTGGTGGGCACTCAGTGGGTCTCAGTCTCCTCTTGCTTCTGCCTTGCTGCCCAGTGCAGGGAAATGGTTTCAAGTGCCTCTGACTCCTCCCAGCTGGCTATCTGGCTCTCTGCATGTAGGTTTGGGCTCATCCAGTGGGCTCCTGGCACTGAGGAGCAGTCACTGTAGGAGGGGAGTGATGCCTGCCCAGCAGTATCTTTGTGTGGAGCAGAAGTCCTTCACAAAGGCATTTTTGGTCCATTATCCCTCTGCAAATACTATGCTTGGTAGATATTATAGTGCCACCTAAAATGTTGCTTACTTACATTACCCTGAAAAAATGCTGGTGATAATCACCTACCAGCAGGCAGTGGTTCCCTCTCTGTTGAGAGGCATCAATTGCCTGCTGCAGCACTGCTCCCCTCGACAGCACAGGAACTGCCCTTGGCCCACGGCTCTGCTCTCTGTGCTACTGTGAATAGATGTAATTCTCTGATCACATCTCTCATTTGTGCATTGATTTTGAACTAATGATGTGTTTGTGTGTGCATACCTGGCGGGGGGGGGGGGGGGAAGGAAATACTAGAACTCCTCTTTCATTTTGGACTGTATAGCTCAGAGCTGCTGTGGAGGTACTGCATGTAGCACTGCTGCTGTGCCTGGGTTTTTATGAAGTCTTTGGAAAGATTTAATTAAAACTGTTTTCTCGATTTCATCTTCTGCAGAAATGGTCTTTTAAAGGTTCTACCCATGGGCTATTGTTTATCCAATTTAAGGTATTTAAATGCAGAATATTATTCTGGTGTATTTATTCTGTAGAAATCTAGGCTTAATTTTTTGCCTAAACAGTTCGGTGTTATGTGGAGGAGATGCAGTCCACGTTCTGCAACTGATATGAGAGGTGAGATTGAAATGAGTTTGACTGTCTTCTGCATTTTATCTAAAGCCTGCAGGTAACTTGGCCTTGTTGTGTCTGAACATCATAAGTATATATTATTTTTCTATTAAAACATTTTCATACATATCACTGTCATTTATACTGTTCTGTATTTAACTAAAATATGTTTTCCTCCTTGATATTTTCTCTAGTTGTGGTCACTGTGCTTCTATTCGGTTTTTCTATACAAGCTATTCACTCAATCTCTAGTGCTTGCTTTCAGGGTTTGTTTATGAATTGAATATTGTGATGTTTCTAGGTGTTCCCACAAGTGCAACATGAAGGCTTACCTGTTGCATTTCCATTTCACCAGCACTCAGATTCCCCAAGTTTCTCAAATCACAGCTGACGATTCAGCCAAACCATGAAGTTACCTGTGCTGGTGCTGTAATGAAAACACCCACTGCTCTCCTGTGCTGGAAATCCCATTGACAGACTCGGTTACCCACAGCTCTTTTCCCCATACATCATCCTGGTTTCACAGACTCCTCTGCTTCAGGGAATTTCTCACCACAAACACAACTGACTTTCCCTACTGAAAATTGAGCTGCAGCAAATATCTTACATGGTCAATTCTGTTCACCCACAAAATATGACTGGCCTTTTCCTCAGATCCCAGTCAATGCCTTCTCCTTTTAATTTGCTCTGCTTTCTACCTTACATTTATTTATTTCTGCAGCCATATTCCCAGGTCATTCCCTAGCCCTGTTCAAAGAGATCGGGTTTGCATCTCCCTAGTGCAGGATGTCTCCAAAGTCAGCAGCTCTTTCTTTGGATAAAATGCAGTCCTTATATCTCTGCAGACCTTTTCCCTTGCCAGAAGATCATCCCGCTCAGACACTGTTGGCCTGGTCCAGCCTGCTCCCATCTCCCTGAGACCCTCTGTTCTTGCCAAACTCCAGCCCTTGGTGGGGTCCATCTCCCCTGAATGCAGCCCTCTCAGCCAGGTGGACAGGTCCCAGGCAGACCCAGCTGCAACACAGCTCCCTGACCAGCTCTGCACACCCTGCAGGGAACTGACCAGAGCAACTCTTGGTATGTATCTGATTTTAAACTTGTATGCTTTTGAGTTACACTGCACAAGACCATACAATAGCTCCTATGCTTACAGTATAATTTCCCCCTATTAGTTTTACTTTCCTCCTATGGTGCCAGTCCTGTATTGTTATTCATTTTATGTATCCTTTATCATATTTGTCAGTAAGTCTCCAGCAGACACAAAGCAGCAGGGTTTGTTTGCAGCAGTACAGCTACCAGCGCTTGGCAAAATAGCAGTGTAAAATCATTTGCATTAGAGCTAATAAAGATAGCTGGAATGGGCCCCAAAATATGTTCAATAAACCAATAAGAGTGACTGCTGTTTATACTCCTACTTTAGTAAAACTAACTGGTTTTCATTCAATGTTTATAGTACTGTAATTGTGTGGTGTAGTATTTTACTGCAATTTAAAACTAATATAATGGTCAATGCCTGCCTTTAAATGCCGACAGTTTGCTAACTATTTCCGGTCTCATGCATCATGCATTTTATTTCCTCCATATAAGGGTAGGGTGAATGTCTCACCATGCAGTTCACTGTACCTCCTGGTAAATGCTGTTTCTTTTCTTGTGGCCATTATAACTTTCACTTTGGAGAATAAAAGCATGTTGGGGTTTTTTTTGACCCCAATTATTGTTTTCCAGAAATCTTCTGGAGGATTAGAGAGATCATACTTTAGGAAAAGAAATATATGAATTAACCAATTAGTAGAATTACTTGGAAGTCTAGATGCTAACATGCTGCTGTAGCTTCCCTCTGCATTCCCCTCTAGCAAGTTCAGCTTATCTATCCCATGGAAATGATTTATTTAAAATAGAAGTGTCAGACCTTGAGACAATAATATCCTACCAAATCTAAATGTCTTGAAAATATGTGCTTATTCTGAAACATGCACATATTGGCTTCCATAAAAGAACATGCCTATTTTTTAGCTTGTTTGATGCACGCCAGCAATTTTTTACAAAGAGGATAACTGAGAGACATTCTTAATAATAATGACAAATAAATAACATCCCTTTCCCACAACACTTGACAATGCAAGGATGTTGTATAGGATCATTATAGGCAAAAATAACAGGCAGAATTTGCCTCTACCCTGTGCCATACATGAAACAACAAATCAGTCCATACGAAGTTCATTTAGCCATATTTTACATCTTCTAGAACTGGAATTGTGTAGCCTACAAAACAATTTATATTTTATCTGTACCATCTAATTAATTAAATGGCCCCAGAGTACCAGACTCACAAATCTCGTTAATAGCTGAATACTGAAATAAAGGCTGTTCACCCCTACTAGAATAATATTTGCATATCTCCACCTGCGATGGGTAATAAGTACCTGCCACAAATCAGAATTATGAATTTTGCACGCCTAACAAAACCGCAGGGGAAATTATACCTCAGACATTCCATAATAATTGCAGCTAAGCTGTTTAGTGCCATCCACTTATTCTGCCTGAAGTGTTTAAAGCAGCAACAGTTGTAAATGAATTCAGGCACACATTCAAGAGAAAATGTTTTAAAAAGTTTTTCTGTCTTGCCATATGTAATTATCTTTATAGAAATGTTCATCTACAAGTTATAACATGCTCATATTTAAAATTGCAAATTAAAAAGTAAGCTCCTCCAATTTAAGTACCTTTTATAAAAGCATCTTTTAAAGTTTATTCCGATGATACAGGAAACAGTTTGGGCCATGTTTATCCTATTGCTCTCCCAGAATTGGTGTTCTGGTCTATAAAGAACCGCAGCGAGGGGCCTGATTTTCCAGTGCTTCTTTCCCCAATAACTAGCAATTCCTGGGGGATAGTTAACTATTAAAGCTTGGACAGAAATATACAGCACTGGAGATAGTCTTTCACTGGCCAGGTAATTGGGGCATTAAAGTAGGCAGCATGAGTTGCCTGTGATTTCTTTATTTCATGACAGGAATGGAAACTGCATATGGAGCAGAGCTGGGAAGGAAGAGACGTGAGATGCTGGTGGTCCCAGCTTCTGGATGGGAGTGTAATGGAATGATAATGCCCATAATGTAGTGGTTTGACTTCGTGAGAGCCCAAAAGCTCTTTATAAGCACAGGTCCTGCTCAGTTACTCTCACTAGGACAAGTCTAGGAATTGGACCATGCTTTCCTTCGGGAACACAGGTTGGTCTGTGGATATGGTATCAGTCCATCCTCTGTGTGTGTATCTGCTACTTGTGGCACTGTGTGACAATTCTCACTTTATCAACAGAAGCACAGAGATCAGGGCACAGGCAGTGTTTTGAAGCCTTAGCAGCACATGGTGCATGTTCCACCTGTCTCCAGGTGAAGATACGGAGACACGGGACAGCACCTGTCCCTGGTCCCAGACTGCCTCTCTGCAGGAGCTGACAGGGGACAGGTCTTTGCTACTGCAAACATGAGGGATTAGGCAGCAGACTGGTGGTGACAGCCCTGCTGTCTCTCGTGATATGCATGCATGAATCGTTATATTACAGACTTTAGAGAAGGCAACAGACCAACAAAAATAACTTCTCCTTCACTCTGGTTCTCACTCAACACTTGGTGTTTTATAAAGGGCTGCGCTTTCCCTTTCTGCAGCAGAAGTAAACAGAGCCAAAACTGCAGTCTGAACTGTATTTGTGATCACTGAAATCAGCTTATAATTTTAAAGCTAGTCTTCTGATTTTGGGGTCTTTTCTCTCAGTAATGCACAGCATGGGCAAGCCTGGGTATGCCCAGGCTGAAGGTGGCAGTACCCTGGAGGAAAGGGAGACACAGGGGAACTCCATTTGTATCAGATGAGTAGGGCAGATACAGCCCAAAAGAAGGCACTAGATGGCAGGTGCAGAACAAAATGTCCCTAAGGAAACCATGTCCTGGAAATGGGCTGGCAGTGTGGGTAAGCATTCAAATGCACACATTTGTAGACAACCAAACCCACCTGAAGGTCGGGTTTATGTTATTTTAATACCAGTCACTGTAGCCTTACAACATGCAAATATAACATCGTTAAAATGCTTGCTGTCCCTCCAGAGGAGGAGCAGGAGAAGCTAGGAGAGGATTGCTCCTGCAAAGGCAATGGTACCCTATGCCAAGACCTGCCAGTGGCACACAGACCCTAGGGAAGGAGGCCCTAGGGCACTGCAGTTCCTGTGCCTATAAACATCCCCATCTGTATGCCACAAGGGTAGCAGTCATTTTGCCAATGTTTTTAGTAAAGGATTAAAAAAAATTAGGATCTATATATATTCAAAAGGAAGGGGCACAGTGCAGCAAGTCACAAGACGATGATTAAGTCAGGTTGTCTGATTCTGCCTAGAATGACAGCAGTGAGTCTAAGAGTTTAGGAAAATAGCTGAGAGCCTATTACCATGATGAAGTGTAGCTTAAAACTTCATTTCATATTTTAGCGGACTAATAGATGAGGTCACTATGGATTTTTTTTCATATTACATAAAATGGCTATAGAAACTGAACCATAATCTCTTACTAACTTACACATTAGCCCAGGGCAATAAAGATGTTTTTGTTGGAGGCAGATTTCATGAAAATTTGTTCGGTTTTATCTCTGAATACTGAACTATGCTGAAGGCATTTAAGTATCCTGTTGGGACACTGTCCTGGAAAGCAGTTACTCTCAAAAGGACAGTGAGGTCATTGGAAAAGCTCTATTTTCTGCCAGAGGATCCTGCCCTTTCTCCTCTGTTCATCTGCCATTCTTTTACCTGAGCTACGAACAGAGGCCAAATCACACTCTCAGACTGCAATCCCTGCTTGCTCTCTGATGGATTCAGATCTGGAACCAGCCAAACATGTCTGAAAGGGAGGCCCTGGTCCTCTTGCCTGTTTTCTTAAGTTTTGCTAAGTCTTCCTTCCTCTCTTTCTGCCAGCAGTGCAGGATCCTCTGTCTCTCCAGCAAGGTTGCAGGTTTGCTCTTCAGTTCACATCTCTTACCTGCACCATTCCCAAAACCAGCAGGCTGGTCCCCTGCTGTAAATTGCCGCTTTTCCCATCTTGTCTGGAAACAATTAAAATGTTTACCCCAACTTCCTCCATCTTATCTTGTCTTTTCACAGAATCCTTTTCTCTAACACTGACAAATGTAGATCCAGTTCCTGCTATCCATCCAGAGCATTGTGACAGCCATCCCTTCCCCAACAGCTTGTGCTGTCCAGGCTACCTCCCTCTATGCAATACCTCCTTGCTAATTCCCTTGATTTCACAGATAACGTAATCTGCTTGTCATCTTCCACCCATCATCCATCACTTGGTATCAACCTGTGACTGTCTCTTGGCTCTTACTGTCATTACAGGAGGGTTACATTTTCTATCAAGCACTTCATGTCTTTTCCTCCTATTCCTGCACTTTCTGTCCCTTCAGTTGGCAGCGATACCTCATAAGCCTGGCTTCTAGCATTGATTCATCACTGCGTGTTTGTCTCTGTAGTTTGTATGTTTGGAGGACTGTTGGCAGTTCAGGGGTTCTCTCTTTCCCACAGGTGATCCCTGCTTTCTCACAGACACTCACCTCTCTTCTGGACTTTGTCTTCCAGTTCCATTCTTGTAGAAGCTCAAATACATACAGAAAGTGGAAGAGTATCCCTTCACTAGAGCCAAAGACTTTATAATCTATGCTAGTAGCTAGTAACCTCAGAAAATGCTAATTTACTGCTATGTAAATGCAGCAGTGTATGGTCTTAGCAGCAGTGTTACTTGGGCTTAGCCCCTTTCCAGCTGTATTCGTATCAGCTGGCCTCTGTCTGAAAAGCAGATGAGGAGTTGGCATTAGCGGTTTCTTTCCAGAAACTATTATGCAGAGAATAATCTCTGATTGATGAGGTCGTGCCCCACTACCTTACAAAGAAACACATGTGTCTCTCCTAGATTTAAACCTAAGGCCATACTTGGCAATCAGTCAGCAGTTTCTCATTGATTATGACTGGCAGGGATTTTTATTATGCTTATTTTTTATTTTATTTCCTTCATTTATCTAAATCTACCAAATATTTCTGTTTAATCTTTCAATCTATAAAAAGTACAGATTTCATCTTATGTGATGCTTTAAGTATGTATGATAAAAAAATGTTTTTTTCTTGCATTTTCCATTCATATTGTAATTTTTTGTTCAAGCTTAAGCAGTCCACGTTTCATTGAAAACCCCCACACTATTCATATTTCTTTCATCCCTTATAAGATGGTAAAAGCAATGTTGCTTTGATGAAATTTGGCAGGTAAGAGGATGTAGTTGAATCATCTCAAACCCCTGGAGTTTTGGGCCTCCAGCTATTATGGTAGAGAAGCTATGAGTATTCAAAAATTGGTCCTTTGTTTGCACTGCATTTCCAAGCCATCTGTAGCACACAAAAGCCACAGCTCTCTTTACAGTTCAGAATGAATATTTAAAAGTTCAGTTTTAGATTTTATTTGTAGCACTTCAAATCTCTCTATCCCATCTGTCTTGTGTCTCAGAGCAGTTACATTCGACCATACTAGGCAATGTCAGTACTTGGTCTTACAACTGGAAGTAAACCCTAGTTCCCTTCCCTTTGGTATCATAGAGTATGCACATGTATGATCAGGATCTGCATAGAGGACTGATAGCATATGGTTTTATGCACTAAATTATTATGTAAGTATTAACAAGCAACTGCAAATATCAAGTCGTCCAGTCTGAAACTTGCTGTATGCTTCTGTAGAGTGGCAGAAAATACCAGCAACTGCGTAAGTGCTGCTGGCTCTGGATAGTGTAGCATGGCACCCTGGAGTGGCCGGCAGCATCCATCCCAAACTGGGCTGGCCCTACATTGTGAAGCTGTCCTTGGACCCACACGGTGAGCCTCGGCTTTCATAACATGGCTGAGAAGTGACAAACACTCTGAAGAAAAGAGAAGGCACAAGGATATGTTTCAGGATGAGGATACTCATGTCAGCTGGTGTGGAGGAGGCCATAGGGAAAGGGGTTGGAACTGCTCACTTCAGCTGGTGTTGGCGTATGCATTCATATAGATTCCTATATATATGCCTCTTTATTTCATGGAAAATTTAGTAAGAAGCACAGAGCTTCCTTAAATTACAGGAAAATAACTCCTCATCGTCTACTTGTATCAGATTCAGTATTTTGTATCTAAACCTCAGCTGCATCTGACAACAACGTGCAATTTTTTTCTCTTCTGTGTTTAACCGGATACCTGAAGTCACCTTTTCTGAATCAGTGGTGTGAAAAGAGAAGCAACGTATCTTTCAGAAAAAAGTGAAAATCATCTACCTCTCATTAAGGCATTCTTCGGTTCTGGTAAATTGTTCATTCTTTCTTTTTATTCTGTGCCCTTTCCTGAGTTTTAGTGGGATGTTTGTTAGACTCTTTAGGTGTAAATGAATCATTTCCCTTAATGGAGTTCTTCTCTTTAATATTATATTAGTATAGAACTATATAAGGTTTTATATATATATGTATGTATATATGTGTGTATTGCCATCTTTTTCTGGGAAAATGAGCAAAATATGTATGTTAACACGTATCACTATGAAAAACTTCTCTGTCTCAACAAGATCTTAAATACAGCAAGCATGTTGCAATTCACCATGAAAAATCTGTCCTAAGGGTTATGTTGTCTTCATATGAAACGAAATGAGTAAATGAATGAAGACTATGGTATCCTGAAGTGAGGTCCGGGGAATAACTGAAAGAATGGAGCTTGTAAAGCCAACAGTTTATGTTCTTAAGGGTATATTATATATCATCATGTCATCAAATAAACTTAGGGTAAGAATTTTTCAGGTTAGTATATTGTTACTATTTAATAAAATTAAAAATATTTATTTTAGAATACATGCAATTCTGACATATTTGGTAGCATCACAGAATATTCTGAGTTGGAAGGGACCCACATGAACCATAGATTCTTACAGTTATTTAGATAGATCGTTAAAGAAAGCTGTGTGCAAGTCTAGTAGGCACATGTTTTCATTCTTACTCAGGTTGTCCATGAGGCCAGATTCTTGCTTTTCCAAAGATAAGCACTTTGTATAGTATCTTAATTAAATTTCTCACTGATCTGTGAAGATTTATACCACTTTAAAAAACAAATGGAGCAATGAAGAAAGTAATACATTTTTTCTGAACTGAATAAATCAGAGGGAATAAACTGTTGCTTCTGGTAGCACTGCCTCTGACACAGAGCTCTGAACCTCACTGGGAGTTGTAGGTGTGCTTCATGGCTGCATTCACATGAAAATAAGGGGTGTTTTTGCAGTGGTGTGTTGTGTCTTTTCCTAATGAAAGGCAGCCCTACCTTCTGGCTTTGCATTTACTTGAGTTTTTTCTTAGGCTTTAAAATAACGAACTTCTCTTTTGCACAGACCTCTGTCATCACCTGCTAGTGCTCCCTGGAGAATAGACAGTCACAAAAGTGAACTGTGTTTCTGGCTGCATATAACGTCCGACTCTTAGTCCGTGAACTGCCCATACAACCATTCCTGTTGCTTCAAACAAGTAGTCCAAAGTAAGTATGAGAATTTGACTTTAAATGTTGTTTTGGATATTTTTTATTTGGGCAGCTTTTGTCTGGTATCGCTTAATGAGAGGCCAAAAAACATAGAGAAGTAAAGTCATATAATGTGCCTAAAGCACTTTTTACTGAGATCAGTTCAGCTTACATGGCTGCAGTAGTGTCATGGGCATGAGCAGGTGACACATGCTTAAAACTTCTTGGGGCTGGAGAGGATTCTGCTGGAGTTAAGAAAGGCATGATAAAGGCATTTATTGACGGTAAATTCTTTCTTGTCAATAGTTATCTAAATGTTCCACCTCACTGTACTTTTGTATGGAAATGGGAAGTAAGTTTTGATCTTCAGATTTTAAAATCTAAACTATAAAGAATTTTGAGGAAAGGTGAAAAAAAAATAATTCATCTACTAGTTTCCTTTACTTTGGGAAATGAGTGGGAAAAAAGAAAGAATTTATGGAAGATAGGAATCAAGGCTCCTCTGGCTGATGCCCTGAGTTACTTTGCTAAAGACAAAGCTTGCAGAGTGTTGTTTGCTAACACGGGCTAGCCACAGTTAACTGGATATCAGGGTTTTGCAAAAACTCTTCAAGTGAGGCAAATAGTCAAAAGAAAGAAAAAAATGTCACCAATTTCCCTGTAATAAAATCTCTAAGTAGATAACATAATGGAACCTCAGACCATGTCTTATGAAGGAAAAATATTTAAAACCAAAGACAACAAAAAAGTCTTTCTCTGGGGAGCTCTGTACCCTTTAGTCTCCAGCTGACCTATCTTGCCCTGTTGGAAAGGCCCGAGCTCCCCAGCGAGCTGCCAGAGCTCTGGAAGCATCTGGCAGCCTTTGGTCTGACTAATACTTAGAAGTCTCTAGGGCTGTCTATAGTCTCAAGAAATATATAATTTTTTCATTTATTCTTTTATAAAACCTTTGTTCCTTCTACCGAGATGTGTGGCTGATCCATTGTAAATCTTTGTTCTACATGGTGGTTTTAATCCTTTTGCTTTGTGTATATAAAAAGCTACAACTTTCCTGTGCTTTGCTCATCTTTATCCTCAGCAGTGAAGTTCTTTCCACAACAGAAAGTCAGTAGGGTGGAATGGATGCTCCTGCCCAGCTGCTGCCTGCCCATTTGTGCAACTGTCCAGACCTGTTCACCTTTTCTGCTCCAAAGTGCATTTAAATATCAAGGTGGGGTTGGTTCTAATCCAGGATTTCTTAAAATGGGAACCTGGAGTTAGTGTGCTGAAGCTTTGACTGGTCTCAAAAAAGCTTCCTCACAGTCTGAATTTCACAACAGGTTGTTTTTTGGGCATCTCAAGCATTGATTTAGGAAGTTTTAGACATCCAGATTTTGGATCTGGCCCCACCATCCTGCAGGTACACAGTGGGACTACAAGCTGTAATCTCTCTAAGCAGAAAGATGTTGGAATAGGGTTCATCTCATCCAAGTGTATGTGTGCTCCCCTCTCCTGCCTTGCACACCAGGAACAAGCAGACAATAGCAGTGCTTTGCACTGAGTTCATGCTGTCTGATTGCATAATCCAGCTGCTTCAGTGTAAATCGAAAAAGATTTTGAAAATGTGCAGATGTCAAGTGCTGACAGAAAAGGCATTTAAAAATACAGGAACTCTAAGATTCTAAGAGAGCATATAACCTGAATTTTTCAAATAATTCCACCTGTTTTGTCCTCCCCTTCAAAAAGTGAGATCTGGGGCTGCTGTGTGGCTGGGCTAAAAAAGCCAGCACACGTCTCCAAGGGCTTACTGAAGTAATGTTTCTTTTAACATGAACTAGTGTAACCTAGGGACCACTTTCTTTAGGACAACTAATTCTGAAATATTCAGCAAACTTTCGCTGGCAAATATGTTGCATTTAGTACCATTTAATATCAAGGAGTGAGACCAGTTAGAGTGAGAGGAGAAAGATGGCTGTCTGTTAAATCCCAAACCCTGTGAGGCAGCTGCTTTTCCTGCCCAGCCATCAGCACTGCAGTGCTTCAGGGAGGAGGAGAGCTGTGGAGAATGAGGTAGAACATATTTTGGCTCTTCCTCCAGCCTGGCCCAGAGCATCCCTGCCCCCAGCTTGAGGAATGTGCTCCTCAGGAAGAGGATGGGCAGGAGTTTGGGTCCGGCTGGGCCATAGCTACAGAATAGGGTTGAACTCGACATTCTGTCAGGCTGGCACGTGCTCACTCTGAGTGTGCAATTGCACTTCAAGCCTAGTGTGGTCTGTGCTAAAGGCTGGAAGAGGAGAAGCTGAAATAGAGACACCAAGGGCAAGGATGAAAGTCCTCATTCCAGAGTATTTGTGTATTTATTTTTTTACCCACTATAATTTGTGAATGGCCAGGTCAGGTCAGAAATGCCCTTCTGTGCAGCACGGCTGGAGCAACAGTCTGGGTCCAGCCCTCTCTGGTGTTGCCAGCCTACCTCTTATCCTTATCCTCCATTGGGAAGTTCTATAGGTCATCTCAAAATGAAGAAGATAAAAGAGGTACATTTGAAGTCACAGCATTAAGATGCAAAATAACTAGAGGATTTTATATATTTTTATTTTTTATTAAATTTTTCCTTTCATAGGATGATGACCATTTGGTGCCCTGTAGCTGAAGTTTAAATAAATATTCATGTAAATTTTGAAAAATAATAAATTTTGAAAAAGCCAGTGGGGGGTTGGTTGGTAGTGATGATGATGATTAATGCTGAAAACAAGAACATGTGCTCAAACCACATGTGTGATTTTCGTAGGTCAGTTTAGGAAGTTGCAGAGAAGGAGGATATTCAAATATTCACTTGTTTTTGTAAACCCAAAGAGATTTTAGATCACATATTCACTGAACTTCCAGAATTCTATCAGGCTGCATGTATGCACTTGTTAGTCCTTAAACTAGTGAGATGTCATTAAAACATTCATTGACACAGCCACTGTCTACGTTAGCTAGACCTTCAGTATTACTAATTCAGGTCTTCCTGCATTTGCATGCAGCACCTCAACTACAAGGCTTTAATGCTGTTCTCTGTTTTGTTCTGCTGTCAGGTATTCAGCTCTAGTGTCTTCTCCACTGAAGAATTTCTATATTACTGCTCTGAATGCAATCTGTTTTGTATGCTTGTGAACTAGCTCTAGGACTTGAAAAAAACTATTTTATATTCTGCACTGGTTAATTTTTCATTTCTCTGACACCTTGGTGAAAAGTAGTCAACACAGTTAACAATATACATTGTGCAACAATAAATATTTTATTGGATATATAATCTACACAATTTACAAGTTTGATTTTTCTCTGGGAGTCTGAATAAATCCATAATTTTGAATACTTGGTGGAACCTCATTTTTTATAGTATACTACTCTATAATCACTGTAAAATGTATGATTTGGTTTTTAATGGGAACTATAGACATTACCTTTGTTTTTTCCTAACATTGCTAAACTCTAATAAAGCTACTTTATAGGGAGAGTAGTCTGGAAAAAGAAATATGGAGGTTTCATCCTGGGAACTTTATATAATTTATATGCTAGTAAATTATAGTGTATTCCTTACACAAGATAACATTAAGGAGTTCCTTTTTTAAAATACATCTAAATACTTGTATATCTAGTTTATATATGAATTTGTTGTGTGGTTGTTTGGTTTTGTTGTGTTTTTTCATTTATTCTGGTGGAATGAACAGATTTCTTTATATATGTCTAGCTTGTGGTTCCTATCCTTGTCTTAAGCCCATTGTAATTAAGGAAAAAATTCTGTTCTTTTCTGCTCTAGCATTTCCACTCTACACCTACAGGTTTATGTTTCTGTTCATGGTTTCATATACAGGAATGCAGCGATGGAGATTATTTGGTTTCTTTATATATTAATAGATTAGGCTTTTACTGTTGCACACACGTAGAAACTATACTTGATCCAGGAGACAAAAAGATAAATTACTCTGTATGCAGGGTATTGAATTCCTATCACTATATTGTGATATATTAATTCTTCTTTAATGCATTTATCCTCACTGTGTGCCTGTGAGATAGGGAGTCTAAGTCATAGTTGTCTCAAAGATTGGGGATTAAGCCACAAAAAGACCCAAAGCAACTCAACTGAGGCTGCACAGGATGTTTGTAGCAGAATAGTGAGAGATCACAGCTCTGAGTGGCAATGTTAAGTACAGGATCACCCCCCCTCTGTTCCAAGGCTTCAGTTCTTGCCTCAGAAGCTATGCTTTCATTTTGTTTAAATAAAATTCCTTTTGAAATAAGCCAGCAGTTCTAAATGCAAGTATCATAGTCTGCAAGACAACTAAGGGATTCTAAATATGATGTTATTGAGAATGTGATTCCCCACTGTTTTCCCCTGTTACTTTTATCTTTCTGGAACTATTGACCAAGTCTCTTGATGGAGCACAACAACAGTAGTGCCTATTTGAATATAAACAAGATTATGAAAAGAAGATGTAGCAGCTGATGATTGTGGATGGGTTTCAAGTACATAGGAAGAAAAATATTTTCATGTCCTCCAAAGGACCAGCAAAGAAAGGACAAAATAAACAATGCCTACCAGAGCAAAGTTACCCAGCATAGCTGGCTACATTTAGGATGGTGAATACTTTCCAGAGAGGGAAAATGGAAGCTCAGGTGCTCAAACAGTTTGAAATGAGACTGGCAAATGTGTTCAGAAAACAATTTGTGATTAAAGCGTGTCTGTTCTGATTCTAATGTTTGTTTCTGTGAAAGAAACTCATTTTTGGTAATGCCTTTGTTCCAAAACCGGTAGCCTAAATATTGATCCATGTTTGCAAAATTGTGCAGTAGGTGCACAGATTAGCTCAAGGTTCAGAATTCCCTTGGGTAACAGGAACTATCAGTTGTGTCTCCCAGATGAAGATAAATGTGTTTTCTGTTGACAAAACAGTCATCTTTATTCTTGTAATGGAGGACTTTAATACTGCTTTTTTTTAAATGTCATCCACCTTCCCAATATCTTTCTTTTCCACCTTATCTGCTCTCAAAAA